AAAACTGAAAACGAACTGCAGAGGTGTTTAGGTTTAGCCTAAATAATTTGGATCGCGCTACGTATTTCTTTCAAAGGAAGGATATCAAGTTGAAATAGCGGTTCAAGAGATGATAGATAATGGTCGATACAGTTTGCGCTGATTCCAAATTTGTCTTCTGTATTTGTAAAGCTCAGAGGTCATACATGTTTTATTGCGCTTTCAAAGATAGCTTGCAAGATCTGTGGAAGATGCCGAAAAAGATTAAGCTTAGACAGCAGCGCAGAAGCTGAATATTGTTGTCATGGATTTTATCAAATGATAACTCCTTGTAACCTGTTTCAGGCTCAACTCGCATTATAGCTTAATTATTTACGGGCAGCCTATCCGGTAGAAAAAAATTTTCACAACATTCTTAGGGTGACTTCTTGTAGATAAGAAAAGCAAGTCTAAAATGAGGTGTTCAAACCGCATCTACTTATACATATCCCTTCTTGAAATACTATTTTGACTAAGTATCCTTCCCTTGTTACTATCGCCACCCATATTCATAATAACGATGTTGTTGAGGAATTTTGTTGAATTTTTGCTGAATCCACATTTTTGCTTGAAAAATAAAAAATGATATGGAGCGTTTGTTTTTTTCCTTTACTTCTTCCATTTCTCATTGGAAAAATTACTGCTCTTTGGATAAATAAGAGTATACAAAAATTTCTATTCAAATCTTCTTTCTCCTTTCAAATTTGTAATTGCAAGCATTTCCGCTGCTATATGTAATTTGTTTGGCTGGTATATCAAAAATGATCCTGAATGTTTGCTTTGTCCTTTTATTTCTTCTTCCATTTTAATCAGAGAAATTATTGTCCTTCAGATACGTAATGAAACCCGCGTATTTATTAAGCTGGTTTTCGTTATACCAAACTCTACTTTTCATAAGCATTTTTACTGCCTAAAATAATTTGTTTGGCTTTTAGGTTCCTGCTCTCATGACAATTCTACATGCGAATGCTTGCCAGGATTCACTGGTGAAATCTGTGATGATATGTGTCCTGATGGTAGATGGGGAGAAGGATGTAATCAGGTGATGTCACCTTTAAAGTTGAATAACTCCCTCTAGTAATAATTACATTAATATTTAGATTTGTGGATGTGATGGGAAAACTTGTGATCCGGTGACTGGAAGCTGTCGTTGTACTTCTGCGGAAGAATGTCCTGAAGGACCATGTCCTCCTGGTAAATCTACTGCTTTTATAAAAAATCTTAAGCACTAATACGGGCCTTTAAGGATTCTACGGACCTATGTGTGAACTTAAATGTCGAATGCAATGTCCAGATGGACGATGTGATCCAGTATACGGATATTGCAGTTGTGAAGAGGGATTATATGGAGAAAATTGTGACAAGTAGTTATTTCAAAATCACAAGTCCTTAATTGATCAAAAATCTTTTTTGCCAATTTTAGACCTTGCCCTAGTTTCGCATTTGGAAGGAATTGCAGACATACTTGCAAATGTTCGCGTGAGAATAGCGAAGGATGCGACAGCAAGGTACGCAAATGCGCATGCTTTATGTTCAAAACCTTTATAAAAGAGTAAATCACCATCAACAAAAAAATTAGACTACTGAGAATAAGAAAGTTGTATTTTCAACTAATTAGCTGTTTCTTACAAGCATAATTTAACTATTTAGCTATCTTAATTTAAAGGATTATTGCATTTTCAGTAGAAAATTTAGATTATATCCTAATGTCTTGATGACCAGACATGGTCCTGGATCTAGCAG